AGGGTGCCAGTGTCTGGAAATGCTTGTCTGCAACACAGCATTTCATCTATAAGCCACTTGGCAACACCATGTCAGAGCTTCGTATGGTCCCTAACATTTTGAAACTTCTTTTCTGCATTAATCAGTTCACTTGTGTATTTTGAGTGGTGAGTCCCAGGTGGCTCCTTCATGATCTCTTCATCACTAAATACAGGTTCCTTTTTCAATAAGCAGTTCTGGCAGTAAAATAAATCTCATACACTTGGGGACCTTGTAGGAGCGTGTTGAAAATTTTGGTTGTTTTTGTTGATGTGTAGTTATTGAAATTGTCTTTGTCTATGCAGTCACAGGTGGCCACATTTATTCTGCTTTAAACAGCTGCAGAGGTTGCTAGAAAAATCTAAGGAATAGCTTGATTTATTTCTGGATTTCTTTTATATACCACCTGCTGATTGATAGCATTCATAGAGCTTTTCCTTATAATGTTGTTTCAGAATAATCAAATCTGTTTACTATTCCCAGCAAAGGCAATCCTGAAAAGTCGAATGCTGTTGTTTTTGATTGTTTAACAAAGTTACAATATCTGTTCACCCATTCGGGCTTATAATTCCTGTTTGTTTAGTTATTGCTTCATTTCTCCCTTTAATGATTCCTTGCTTACATTACATATTCATTCAATGCTCACCATCCAGAGAGAGCCACGTGAGATGCTGTGAAACCTTTCTCTGATAGATCTCAGTCATCAGATCTATTCTGCCAGGGCACTGTCTGCGGATTCCAGCCCCGCTCTCCCACACAGGCGAACTGCCAGGTGCAGGTTCATTCACTATACAAAGACGGCAGTTGTGTTAGCGACAGCCTGCTATGCACTGAGTTGATGTCTAGTTACTAAATTCTTGGGTAGTTACTGAGATGTAGCAAATACCCAAGGAAAGTTGTATGGAGGAAAGAGCACGTGTAGTCACATAAATCTGAGGCAGAATTCTTTTGCCATCTTTAGTATGCTGAATGGCAGTAGGTGTGGAATTAGTTCTTCCTAAACCTAAGTGGGAGAGTTGTTTTAAGGATTAGATCTGACAGTTTATTGAGATTTTCCAACACAGTGCTCAAAATCTCAAATGGTGTTCATAATATTTGTTGGCATTATTAATGGTACTAAATATTAAAGGATAATCGAGGTCCTTTTTTTCCTTTGAACGTTTCTGCCTGCAGTGAATATCCTGTCCTCTACCTTCGTGAGCTGAACTGGACATTTTAGTTTCCTCTCTCACTGCAGACATACAGTAGAGTAGCGTAAGCTTGCACTCCAGTCTCTGTCTTCCTTTCTCTAGATTCAGCACGGCATCTGCTTGATTTTCAGATTTTGACTCTAAATTTGGGAGAGAGGAGGACAGGAGTTACCTTATATCTATAACTGTTGAACATTTTTACATTTCAACTATATTTAGACCTTCCATCCAAATCATGTTCCTCTGTGGTTCCAAAATGTATTTTTTTATTTATTCTTAACTCACAAACAAAATATGAAGATGACTTATGCCCCGCCTCCGCCTTCTGAGTGAAGAGGTGCTGAGGAGCTCTTTACTTCCGTAATTGCTAGGATTTCTGCAAACCACCAAAACTGGAAAAAGCATAGAAACCACAAAGGAGACCAGCCCTGAAAAGCATCCATAAGATAAGCGGGAAAATTAAGTAAAATGGAATATTAGTCTTTAGTTTAGATTTGGATGTAATCTCTGCTTGCAGGGGTGAGACATATAGCTTGGCAGCAAGGTAAGTGAAATCTTCTTTTTGGGGAAATAAAACTATTTGAGGAGAAAAAAATAGAGCAGTTTGTCTTTGCTTGGCTCTCCATCTACACAAAACTGAACTCTCTGTACAGGTTTCTATGGTGACTCCCCTATAGTCAAGCTTTGGAAGCTCTAGGATCCTTATTGTCATCTTCTCTCATGGTATTCCACCTTTGGTGTAGCGGTCTTGAAGTAATTTCCCCAGTAAACAGTCTTACTTTTAGCAGAAAAAGCCTCCACAGTAAACAGAGACGATATGTGCTGTTCACACTTGTGGAGTTTAGAAGGAACGAGAAGCCAGGAGGTCCTTGCTTTAGGTTTGAGTTTTGACTGTTGCTTGGAGAACCAAGAATCCAGAAACAATGTTAGGCCTCTAAAGATAAAATTTATCTTTATGGGCCCTGTTCTCATGGGCTTTACAAACTAACAGGAATAGCTACACATTAAACACAAAAATAAATATAAAATGTAAATATAAATTTTTTAAAAAGTCATGTTAAACATATTAAAGAAAGAGCAATATGTTATTAAATAATTGCAAAAGGCTATCCAAGTTGGCCATGAAGCTATTTATAGAACACTTTTCTTAGGAAATGACATTTATGGCAGTTCCTGAAAGATCTAGAAGTTTAGTAGCTGTGAGGGAACAGGGGCATGTTTACGCAAATCTTGGTAATCTCTGTGATAGACTTTTCGTTACAATGAAAAACCATGTTTTAGAGAAATGCTTAATATTTTTTTCCAGCTTTGCTGAAATATAATTTAAATTAAGAAGGTCATCAGTTTAAAGGATAAATTTTGATAAATTTTGGTAATTGTATACAGTCATGTAAACACCACCATTATAAATACAGAACAATATCATCGCCCTAACAGATTCCTCACGCCTCTTTTCAGTTGATCGCTTCTCAGAACAACTGGATCCAGACAACCGCTGACCTTTCTGTCACTATATAATTTATTTTCCTAGGCTTTCATATGAAGGTAATTAAGAATAACATAACCTTTTGTTTCTGCGTTTTTTAACAATGTAAGATTTTGAGATTCCTACATGTTGTTATGTCTATTTCATTCATTTTATTGCTGATTAGTATTCCACAGTAGGATGAAACCATATCCATTCACAACATTTGTTAATATGGTGCCAGATTTCTTCAAAAGAATTATTCAGTATTGGGAAGCCATCAAGCTCATGGTAGTGGATATATGTATTCCAAAATTCTAGTTTTCTCTTGAAAGTTCAAATTTTACTGTGGAAACAGATATTGATTGTTGTTATTCTTAAAGTGAGTGACTAACTTCATTCATTTTTGAGAAAATGTTTTCCAAATGTCCAAATCTGTTTAAGTATTGTTCACCTATCAGTTGCGTTTTCAGTTAAAAAATTGATGTTTCATGACGAAAAGGTATTAATTCAACTCACAACTGAAATAATTGCGCAAGTGCTTTTTCTTGAGACAACCATCTAGTTTGTTATACTGTGCTGTCTCAAATAGGAATTGGCAAGAACTGCATAAAGTCTGAGATTTTATCCTCTTTGCAAACTAAAATATTAAGCGGCTACAGTTCAGGGATCTTAGAAGAAGACATAAGACTCATGGCTCAGAAATAGGGGATATGGCATTTTACTGACAACAGCAAGAGTAGCCAGAGTTTCAGCATGTGTGCCAGCACTGCGAACTCCAGTTCCCACATAGTGAGGTGAAGAGGTACAGGTGATAGCAGCATGTGCAGTGGGGTGTATTACAGGAAAAGAAGCCTGAGCGTGGGGACCCTGAATCTTATAAGAGGCTAGGTCTCCCTGACCTCTGCTTCAGTGAGAGACATTATTTTCATTAAACTAGGCAGTGAACAAACTTTCGCTGTGATTCAGAGGAAGACACGATCTTTATCTTCCAAGGCTATTTATAAGGAAAGGACAACGAGTGTGTCTTATGGTAAGATATCCAGAAATATGCGATACTTACGGAGAATTGTCTCTCAACAATATTGACCACTAGTTTCTACACTTGTTTTGGCTTCTGGTGAATTTTTCCATGAGTACACAATTTGGTGAGCTTCTTTGATGAATCTGATCAACCAAGGCTGGGACCAAACTGTTCAACTGGTCTCATAAAATAGTTAATTAAAATAACCCTCAATAAGACTCTAAGAAGCAGAATAAGACCAATGTATGTTATTGAACTCAACTATAGCAGCAAGATTCCAGACCCAACCAGCTTAACAAACCTCATAAACAATCAGTGTATACCTTAGAAATCCAGATGTCTTTCTCCATAGGTTTGAATTGGCTTTTTCACATGGACTAAGGCATTAACACAGGGACAGCAAGGTGTATTAGGCTTTATACAGACCTTATATTGGCTTTCAAGGAGGATATTTAGGGCAATTGCGTTATTCATAATAACCCTGACCAGTGACTTGAGGCTCATTTGAATGCCTCATAGGCTGAAAAGATGTCATTAATCAGCTAAAGTCTGGGACATATTTCATACTAGCTTTTCTAATTTTATGACTCTCAACATAGGGATCACTATCCACATAATGTTATTCTTCCAGAAATCTCTTCAGTTAACCAAGGGCACTCTCAGTTTGGAGATACTGCTGCAGTCATCAGGGTGCTACACATAACATCTCGTTCATCTACTGGTGATACTTGCTTAAACACTTTAAGCTGTTTTATGACAACCCCTATAATACAGGTCATCATGTTTCTGTGAAGGAGGTTCATTAAGGCTTTGCTTCTACAAAAGAATTATAATGACTTGGGAGTTGTTAGTGATCCTGGAGACAAAATGTTGCTTACAATTGTTGGGGCCTCCCAAAATAAGATCTATAAGAGTTAGGGGCATGAGTTGACCGCGCTTCCAACTGGCCTTCTGACTAGTTGGTAGATCTTAGGTTACCAGATAGTTCAAATAATTGAACACAGTTCTTATTTTTGGAGGAAGTTGTTTGGGGAGGGGATAATGGCAAACCTGAGTGTCAGTTAAATTTAAACTGTTTGCAGTAGTTTTGGGGAGCTCACTGTGGATTTTTTCCTTCCTGAAGAAGCTTCTTGGGGTGACACTGAAAGACAGAGATCATTAATGTTCATCCTCCTTGTATCTTCTGGTGTCTAGGTTCTTCCCACCAAGTCATGACGAGGTTACGCCCTCTTACTACTGTAAATCAGAGCCCCCTTCCAATAACTGTAAGTTCACCATTTTTCCACTCTTCCTCTACTTGCAGAAAAAAACGTCAGATGCACGAGGAGCAATGATATTATTATAAGACTTATGGAGACCCACATGTCCCCTACTTCACCCCACTTGAACCACGGTAGGTGGGACGGTCAGCAATGTTTTCCACCAAGTGGTCATTTTCGTTGTTACCCAGGAACATGTCAACCCAACAAAATAATCCAAGCAGTTGAATGAGATTGTTTGAATCCTCTAGGCCCCTGTTTGGAAAGATAGTTATTCAGAAAGCATGCCAATCAGGCCGGCCCATTAAGGAAAAAAAAAAAAACATGCCAAGGAATGTCCAGGAAGAATCCAGAATTTTCTATAGAGGCTTATGTAACTCTTTATCACTTTCATCCTGATCATTACTCAGGAAGTGGCACAGAGGAGGTAATTCTTTTCTGGAGACAACTACATTCAATGACTAAACTGCCTTTTTGAGGAGTATGGACCAGGAGGAGACGAGGGAGGATGTCAGTGACGTTTTAAGTCAATTTTTGAGGAAGCTGTTCCCATGCTCAACAATATCAGATGACTGGATGGTAGCTAGCATGGAAAGTACATTGAAAACATTTATCATGAGTCCATTTTTCAATAGCTTTTTCAATAAAAGATGCACCATTGTCAGAGTTACAAATTGTCTCGATAGCCAAACACATAACACAGATTAGCTTTTAGGGCCACAGCGTGGGACTGCAGTCAGTTGTTTGAGCTGGAACAGCAACAGTGTAACTAGAAATGTGTCAAAAACAGTGAGGTACCACCAATGGGGGTAAGAAGTGTGAAGTAGTCAGACTGCTGGGAGCAGGAAAAGGGCAAGGGGGCCACGCAATGTGGTCCCCTTCACCTAGAGGCAAATGAGTTAGATTTTGACAGGAATGAGAAGTCTGGCATGCAGTGGGAGCTTCTGCATCAGAATAGAGTCTTTACTTGGTGCCTAGAGTTTTGATTGGTGGATGTGTTGTTATATCTGGTCTGATTATAGATCTAGAGAGCAATCATGGTGATCCAGTTCTCTCATGAGAGAATTGCCCTTATTCTTGGCATCTTTATTAGTGACCCAAACAGTTTGATTGCAGCTATGATTTGTTTCCACAGTCCACAGCCCTGATAGATTACCTCTAATCTCCCAGTCTGTAGTTTTCCAAGTGGCAGTCCAAATAGCTAGGCCATTGGCAGCAGTCCAAGAGCCAATAAAAACATAACAAGGTTCATCAAGGGGAGTATTGCTCAGAGCTATGAGAATGGCCTTGATTTCTGCCCACTTACTGTAACCGTCACATCTACTTTCAGTTCTGGATTACTGCTACTCAAGCTGATAGCCATAGTGGCCCAGTGGACACCATTGATTTCCAGGTTAGCTGAACCACCAGTAAACCAGGCCCAGCTATTTAGGGAAAACCATGAATCAAGGGCTCCAGTGAGTCAGCAGTGTTGTTCCAGATAGCAGAGTGAGAATAAAGTTTCTTTCAAAAAGATAGATTCAATGTTTTTATCTAAATCCTAGGTGCTATGGGGGATATGTCAGCTCTTAAATGTACTATTTCCATTTGATAAGTGAGACTTTGGGGGCACTTCCAATCTTGTTAGTTCTTGAGTCTGAGTTGACCCACCCCCAAAATGGGAACATCAGGTGGGAGAATCACATGGTTTCCTTGGATGAGGCATTAAGTTTCAGTAAGAGTCCAGTAGCAGTCTGCTCTTTAGATGGGTTTTCCTGGTAGCCGTTTCTGGGAGATGATAAGTATAAAACCCCAAGGGGTTCTTCTGGGTGTAGCTGCCTCCCTTTCCCAGAGGCTCCAAACATCACGTCATCACTTAACAGAGACTTCTAGCTCTAAGGAATCTTAAAATTACGTGGACCCAAAGGTACTAGCACCTCTCTACCTGCAGCTCTTTCCAATCTGGAGACCTGCCTCTTGCATTTAAGGGACAGGGATATACAAGCATATAACAAATATATTCCAACTGTAGCTTCAGATGTGGAGTCTACAACAACAGGACATTGACTTGGCCCAAAAGGCTTACTCAGTATGTCATGTTAGTGTCCCTTTCCCAATCTAAATGTTGCCCAAACTCAGTCAGTTATGGTCATTAGGAAAAGGGGGAAAAAGACCCTCAAGATGTCAATAATAATGGCATTTTGGTATTTGAAACAATTGATGTTTGCTTTTACTTAAGTTTAGAAAATTACTTTTTAAAATAAAATTATCAAATTTCACATAAAATATATGAATAGACAAAACATAAGCAAATCTTAAGTAGATAAAAAATTCTGAGATAATATGTTTTGCAAATTGCTATTTTTAAAGATAACACTCTTTTTCAACTTGAAATGGACATAGAAATGTTATAAGAATCTGTTCCATGCACCTTATAAAGGTGGTTATAATACATTAAATATACAATAACTTGGTGGAATTCTAGTTTCTTCTGGTCCTTATCCTGTCATCAAATTAGTTTTCTTTGTTATCCTCATGTGAAAAATAGTGGCTAATATATTCTGGAGACCAAAGGAGAATTTTGATATTAAAGTCAAAATGGTCAGGGGAAATAAGAAAAGGATAAAAGCAATTAATTATTCTCTAGTATTTGAGAGATAATAGTAATTTTGCCATAGATCTTTTCTATTGTTTGAACAGTCTCTAAACATACTTCATAAGACATTGTCATATGTTACTCAGTTAGTGCAAATAACTCGGCATCTATATTAGTGACCAAAACAGTTCCATCAGTAGCCATGATTTGTTTCCACTCAGTTATTACAAATAACTGAGTAGCATATGTATTAACATCCATTAATACTTACCATTTTCTCCAATATAAAGTGTAAAAAATAATCCTCAATTCTCACATTTAATATTCGAGGCTCTAAATAGAAGGTTTTAAAGCCAAACATTAAATACTGATTAATAATTTGCATCAAATATGAATTTATTTTTTATTCAAAATAAGCAAATTATTTGTAATCCCTCTGCAAATACTGATTTAATAAATAAGATGTAACTTTAGGAAGTGGTAACTTTTTTAAATGAAAAAATTTGTAAGACTTAGTTTAGTGGTATAGTTAAAATTTTCATTTAGAAATTTAAATATATAGTTTAAATTAGCCAGCAGTGTGATGCATAAAGTAGTACAAAGAGCCCACATTAATATAAAAATTCTATTCAGAACAAGGAACCATTTCTCTGTTCCTATTATTTCTTCCTGAAGAAAAAAAATACTCCAAACTTAATGGCTTAAAACAGTTTGTCACTATCTTTCACAATCGTGGGGGTTGAGTTTCAGCTAGAGATTCTTGCCTCAAGTGCCTTATATGAGTACATAGGATGGCACTGAGTCTGCAGTCATTTACCATCCCAGCCAGGCTGGATTTCCAAGTTGTCTCAATTTCACAGACATGGCTGGCAATCAATGCTGGATATAAGCCTGAAGTTCAGCTGGAGTTTTAGAAAGGAGCACCTACACATGGTTTCTTCATGTGGCTTGGGTCTCTACAGCGTGGCAGCTAAGTTTTGGGAGGGAAGATTCCAAGAAGGAACATCCTGAGAAAGAGCATTCCAAGGGGATTAAATAGAAACTGTGAGGTTTATTAGGATATATTCTCAGAAGTTCCAGAATGTCACTTCTCTGTAGTATATACTAAAGAAAATCACCGATGATAGCCAAATTCAAGAGGAATTAACCACTTTTGTTGGGAGGAATAGCAAGGGATGTACAGACATCTGGACCTCACAATCTCCAGTGGTTTTTCAGAACATATCTTCAGTACTGATTCTGCTGTCTTCTAAGAGCTCAGTAGGAACATATGAAAGGAAGACTTTACAGTTCTTGACATTATATTATATATTAGTTCATTCACTTGAGAGAGCAATATTTTCACTATATTCATCATATGAGATTCTTTTAGGCAGGAAGAGTAACAGATTTGTTCTGTTTTATTCCAAAATTCAGACAGGAACTAAAGTATGAATTCCAAAGAAATAACTTCATTTAGGTAAGAAGAAATTATAGTAATTAGAGTTTTCTAAAGATGGAACAAACTGTCTCAGGAATTGTTTTTTATTAATACTTGTAAGCATCGAAATGAGGTTTGGATTACCATCAGTTAATGAGATAATAGAAGTTTCTATTAGATGACTTTACAAGTTCATTTCATCCATGTGTGCTCGTGCTGCAGTAAGGTGATGAGCTGCCGAAATATCATATATACCGTTTGTTTTCATTTAAGACTTGTTTCTGTATGAAGTTAGATATCTTAAAACCATTAAAAATGTTTCTCCAATTTTCTTTGATACATTTTGAGACAGAGAAGTTGTAGTATTCTCTGGGTAATTTTAGATTTAATTTAGTGAATAGAAAATAATCTAGTTTGAAATTGATATAAAAATCAGATATGTAACAGAAGAGTGCTACTGTTTATAATTAGAGTAATTACTTTTTAGACCTAGATGATTTTGCCTTGGGAATTCATAAACCCATATTACTAAAGAAGCCTTTTTAAAAACGTGAATTTGATAGCTAAGGTGACAGAAACCGAGCCCTTAAAAAAAAATCAAAACAGATAAATTAATAACATGTGTAGATTCACCTTTATGTTCTTTTAAATTAGTAGTTAGATAGAAATATCAAAGTGTTATCTTGTTAGTCATTAAGATACTTCTAATATATCAATCAAAAATGGTCCGTAAGGATGACATCAGAGAGAATAGCAGACTAAGAACCTCCAAAAAGCCTAACTTCCATGAAAGGAGTGAGAACACTGGCAAAAAAAGTCAAAGTCAACTTTTTCAGAACTCTGTAAATTAACCAAAGGTTTACAACAATCTGGTGAGCTTTTATTCAGGGAGAACAAACAAAGAAATTCAAAAGGTACTCTAGAAGATATCTAACACAAAAGAAGGCAGTAGTAGAAAAATAGAGGGACCAAAAAGTAAGACAAGTAGAAAACAAATTGCAAAATGGCAAACATAACTCTTACCATACCGATAATTATTCTCAATGTAAATTGTGCATTAGATATTCCATTCAAAAGAGGGAGATTGACAGAATGCGTTAAAACAATGTGATTCAACTATGTGCTGTCTACAAGAGATAAACTTTAGAATCAAAGACAAATTGATTGAAGTAAATGGGAAAAGAATGGAAAGACAATGGATTGATTCTGTTGGAATGGAACAGAAAGATATACATACAAACAGGAATCAAAAGAGAGCTGGATTGGATATACTAATATCAGACAAAACAAACTAGTACAAAAATTATAACTAGAAACAAAAGGACATTTTATAATGATCAAAGTGTTAATGTGTTAGGAAGACATAAATTTATAAATATATATGCACAACAAATATATGAAGCAAAAATTAATATAATGCAAAAATAGACAATACAACAATAATAATTGAAGAATTGAATCCCCCACTTTCCATAATGATTCAAGCAACTAGTCAGAAGATCAAAAGGGAAATAGAGGACTCGAACAATACTATAAACCAATTGGCCATACAACTATAGAACACACTACTCATAACAGCAAAATGTACATTCTTCTCAAGAACATATGGAATATTTCCAGGATAGACCATATGCTATACTATAAAACAAACCTCAGTATTTTTAAAAGCAATTAAATCATACAAAGTATGTTGTCCAACCACAGTAGAATGAAATCAGTGAATAATAATAGAAAGAAATTTGGGAAATTAAAAATTAGGGGAAATAAAACTTAATCCACTCCTAAATAACCAATGCATCAAAGAAGAAGTCACAAGAGAATTTAAATAATACTTAGAGACAAATGAAAATGAAACGCAACGTGCCAAAACTTTTGGGGTGCGGCTTTAAACACATATTACCTGTAAACGTCTATTTTAGAAAAGGAAAAAAAAAAATCAAATCAACAACCTAAGTTTCCACTTTGAGAAACTAGGGAAAAAAGAGGAAACTAAAATCAAAGCACTCAGAAAGAAGGAAGTAATAAAGATTAGAACAGAAATAAATGAAATTGAGAGTAGGAAAACAACAGAGAAACCCAATGAAACCAAAACTTGGTTCCTTGAAAAGTTTGACACAATTGACAAACTTTTTGCTAGACTGGCCAAGAGGAAAAATAGAGAAGAATCAAGTTACTAAAATCAAGGTTGAAAGAGAGAACATTACTACAGATCATATAGAAAGATAAAAATAATTGTGAGGGAACGTCATGAATAAGTTAATGTAAAAATTAGCCTTAATGAAATGGATAAATACCTATTAAGACACAAACTACTAAAACTGACTCAAGAAGAAATTGAAAATATGAACAGACCTATAACAACAAAAGAGATTGAATTAGTAATAAAAAAAAAAGAAATTTCAAAAAAAGAGTAGCCCAGGACCAAATGGCTTCAATGTGAATTTTATAAATATTTAAAGAAGAATTAACAACAACCTTTCACAAACCTTTCCAAAAAACTAGAAGAGGAAGAAACACTTTGCAAATAATTCTACAGAGCCAATATTATGCTGATGCCGAAACCAGGCAAAGACATCTCAAGAAAAAGAGAGGTGGAAAGAAAGCACATTCATCAACAAGGTAATGACTACTTCAAAAACGTTTTGTTCTTATAAGAATCTTACCTACTCCAATCTATGTGTCTTTCGCTTACCTTATAACCCTTTAATGCCATATATATATATATATTTATTTTTTAAGCTATTTTTCACAGCTTTTCTTGAATTTGGAATATAGAAGGGTAATAATTTAAAGCTAGCTTTAAAGAAATACACCCATTTAAATTCAAATATCACTAAGTTTCTCCTAGTAATTCTCTCTATTTTCAATGTCTGTTCATCATATAATCTGTTTCTGAACATCTACACCCAATGACAACGTTTATAGTAGCTTTAATTTACTGAATTTTGTTACTCAATTCAGCTTAAGACCTGAAGAATCAAAACAAAATGTTAGGGTATTTAGATGAGAAATTGTTATCATCACCTTTGAAGTCAAACAAACCTGAGCTGCAGCCTGGCTTTATTCCTTAATGTTTGTGACTTTATCCTTTTTCATTACGGTTTCCGTACCTGTAACATAGGTATTAGATTATCTGCCTCATGTGATTGTTTTGAGCAGTAAAATAAATGAGATTGAGAGGCACTTGCATAAAATGCCTGACAAAGGTGGAGACTTAGTAAGCAATAGTTAGTGTATCAACATAAAAATGTTTTGTTAGTACAGTCATGCATTGCTTAATGATGGGGATATGTTCTGAGAAATGCATCAGGTTAAGCGATTTTGTCATCATGCGAACATCGTGCACTTACACAAATCTGCGTGGTATAGCCTACTGTACACCTAGGTACTAATATTACGGGACCGCCGTCGTACATGGGATACGTCGTTAATGGAGACGTCGTTATGTGGTGCATAACTGTGACTGCTCTATTTTAGAGACCTTCTTTGAGAAACACTCAGTCAACTTTGGGCTTGCTAAAAATTCACATTCCTACTCATACTTCGTGAAATTCTGATTCGTATAAGGAAGGAGAAGTAGAATAGAAATTCGTATTTTGAAAGAGTATCTCTGAGACTTCTTATGTTTATGGTAACTCAATTCTTACCATTTCTTTAAGGACTAAAAAAGATTATCTCTCTAGATAGCCATAGAGAAAATGTTATTTCAAAATGCTTCATTTTGCTGTTATATGGAAAAGGACCACTGTTTTTTAGTAGTGTCTAATATGCTCACTTAAATGATTTCATCGTCAATGAATCCCTTTAGAATGATGGTTCACAAGTCCCGGAGCACCTAGCTTTTACTTAGCCGTATACTGTTACCAACACGATTCTTTGGGCATCTGAATTTTTAATAAACTGCCCATCGATTTTTTTAACCTACTAGTATTTACAAAGCACATACTTAGATATGATACTACCTAGGCAATATTTATGAAAGATGATCACATTCACTTCCTACAATTATAGGAAATCTATGAAACATTCTACTAAAACTTAGTCTTCACAAATTAAACAAGAGATTTAGATAATGTTTAACCAAGAATAATCAGATTAAAAATTATTTTGTTGCCAAAAAATTGACTAACACAGAACCTTGCATTGATATTTTAAGGTCTTGAGACAGAAAAGATATTATCTGTTCAAAATTAGCATAAGAAACTCAGTAATGTACTATAGTTCTTTATAAGCCATTTAAAGGGGATTACTATGAAAATTCAATTTTAAAATGATTCTCTTAACATATTAATGAAAGGATTTCAATTTATCCCACCTAACTAGGTCAGAAACACTAGCAGGATATTAGGTTCAGGAGTTGTAATATTTTATGATGATCTTATTTTTCAAAGCACTGTTTGCCAAATTGAATCTTGGAAGGAAGCTGATGTACCATTGGATTCTATAATTATTGACTTGGCCTGGGCAGGCTGCTGCGATAGCTATGACTGAAAGTTGATTGCCCAGCTGTTGCTGGCACATAAAGGGACCGTAAAACTGAGCATAGTTTCAACTGCCTTCTCAGGTTCTCTATTCTCAACAGATACGATAGTTTGATGAGATTTTTTTTGACTTTTTTAAACAGTCCATGTATATTTAAGGATTTATTCATATTCAAAATTAGACACTGCTGATTAAAAATAATAAAATAGAATACACTACCTCAAAATGAGAATTACAAGGTTACTTAAGACTTGATAGTTTAATAATTTATATATTTAAAGTATAAATTTGTCAAAAATGATCAACTCATATGTCCAGGAGCTAATAAAGTGATCATGGATAATTAATTGAAGTAAATAAATATTACTTAAATTTTGTTTATTTTCATGAATTAAACTTTGAGTGTGATATAATATTTTGCATATGCTTGTTGTCACAAGTAAAAACTAAACTTTGATGAAGTAGATAGAAGGAATTAAATCTGATATATTATAGTCTCTAATGCATACAGCAGCCTGAGGATTGTGTAGCATTACTGAATTTAAAAGTCCATTTTATGTTAGATTATGGCTTAATGTTCATGAAATTATTCATTTAGGGTATCTTTTACATTTGATTGTTTTAGTTAACTTTTGCTGTGTAATTAACTGCCCCCAAACCTAGTGGTTTTAAAAACTTATTTGGTCCCAGAGTTTGTGGGTTGGAAATTTAGGTTGGCAGAGCTGGACAGTGCTTCTACTCTCTCAGCTGATTCACTGTGTGTCGGCTGCCAGCTGCCAGTCAGCTGGGGACCAGGGCACCGGTTTTTCTAGGGAAACCCTAGCCATTTAGGCTCATCTCTCTTCCATGAGATGTATCCTCATGGGCCAGAAGCCTAGCTTGTTCGCATAGTGCCATGTTTCCCAAGATCAACAAGCAAACCTACCCTAAGGCAACGGCGTTGTTAAGCTTCTGCTTGTGTTACATTTGCTTACTGCCTCATTGGCAAAGCAAGTAACGCGGCCAATCTTAAAGTCATTGTGAGAAATCCTTACTGAAGGGCAGGGAACTAGGGAGAGGAAAGTTTTATAGCCATTTTTACAACAAACTACAGTCCTCCCTCTGGCTGCAAATCATTCCCAATCTTTCCAAATAAAAATATCCTCAATGCCATCCTAGGACCTCCAAAGATCTCATAAAATCGTGGTGTCAACTTTGAAGTCCAGACTTTCATGAGCTTTAGTCATATATGGGGGCAACTCCTTGAAGACAGCTACTCTTGATCTAAAAATTAATGATCTAAAAAAGTGTTTTCTGCCTCTGACTCACCCAACATACAATGTTGAGACAGGGGCTTACCTGCATTGGTCACTTCTATTCCCGTAATAGCTGCTGCTGCTTAGCATTCTGAAATCCAGGGCACATATTGCAATGTGACACAGAGTACTTTCTCTAGTGACAAAGAATATACCTTCCTTAAGCCTGGATTTTGCTCCTGGAAGTGACTCCTCTGTCATTGTGTTCTCTGATGCTGTCAGGGAATTCCTCCTCCATTCAACATTCCTTGAGACTCTTGGCTCTGCTCTCTAATTTATTGACTCTTTTTTCCAGGACTTCCTTTATTTTCTCTAAGAAATGGTCCATATTTGCAGCTAAATAGCCCTGCCAATGTGCTTTGTGCTTGTAGACAGTTGGGGGTCCAGAGACCTCTTCAGGTTTGGAGTAACTCAACTTTTTACTCCAAGCTGTTGGTCCTTTTGCTAGTTCAATTTTAACCCACATCAATAAATCAATGCTGCATGTTTTAAGGTTTTTTGCAGAAGCTGTTCGATTTTGTGTCAGATTTTTCGTGTTAACTGTCCTCTGTGCTAAACCACCACAAAACTGTTTTACAACAGCAGCTGTTAATCACATCACAAACTATAGGTTAGCAGTTTAGGTTGGGCTCAGCTGGGTGATTCTTCTGCTCATAGAAGCAGGACTCACCCACATGTCTTTAAGCAGTTAACCAGTTGCTAGGGTTGGTTGGTCCACTGGGGCCTCAGCTAGGATAGCTCATCTATTCTCCACATATTCTCTCTTCTTCCAGCAGAATAACCCAGGCTCGTTCACATGGTGATGGAGTTCTCTGTCTCAGGTTGAGTTTCCCAGAATCAAATCTGGAGGTAAGCTGTGGGGTGCAAGATATTTATTTGTGAGCAAGATCTATAAAAAGAAGAAAAAAGAAACATATTTGGGAAGAGGGAGAAGTCAAATTGTGAAATAGCTCCAGCAAATCCTTGTTCCAGTCCATCAGGGAGCTCTTGAGTGAGTAGTGACTGTTGACAGGCTTCAGCTCCAGCGACATGAGTCTCTGAGGCAGACCCGGAAGGAGCTGAGAGCGGTCGGTTGTCTGCTAACTGCATTCCCTGAAGCTGGACAGCAGGTCCTTCCTCAAAGGAGGATCTGGAAGATGCTTTTCCAAGTCTACTGCATTTCCTAAAGCAACCAGTAAACAAGCCCAGTGTGTCAGTTTTGCTAACGTCCCATTGGTCAAAGGAAGTCATATGGCCAAATGATGCACTAACAGAGGATATGGCCACAAAGAAAGGATGGATTTGAGGCAATTTTTGCAGTCTACCATATTGTGAGTCTGGTGTAGTAATGACCTTGCAGTAACAGCCTAAATTAAAAACAAGAGAAAAAAAGAGCATGGATCTCTACCTCTTCATGTTGAAAATGAACTTTATTCTGCCCTAAACATCAGTCTAAAAGAAGTCTAGACTTAAGGAACCCAAGTGAAAAAAATGGAAGTGTAAACTTTAAAAAGAAACAGCCAGGGTACTCATAAGAGTATTTTGGTGAAGCAAGAGAATAATATGCTACTTTCTCGCAGAATTTAGAGAGCTCAGAAGAATATGCCTCACTGATGTATGTTTTAGATATTCAAATATTTTGGGTCAGAAATTACAATGTTTTTTTTTCTTATGACGTTAAGATCATTTAGAGTTGAATATGACCTAAATGTTATTTTCCTGGTAAGGACTGACATTTTCAATTTGGCTTCTGTTTAATTTTCTCGTTCCAAACAAGAGAGCTTCTAAGTTATTGACAGAAGTCTCTGAAGACAGAAGCAGCTTATACTGCTGTCTGTTTATGGAAGTTTTTGAAAAATAGACTCATGAGTTGGCAGAGACAGACCCCACACAGCCTGGCAGAGCTGATTATCATGTCTTAGCAAATGAAGAGAGCCCTAATGCACGGAGAACTCTCAACCGTTAATGCTGGTTTTCCCACAAGGTTACATAAACTCACAGTTTGCCAGGGGTAGCACATCTTGCTTATCCTTCCACTGATTGACTCAGAAATTTCATTAAAAGTACAAAGTATTCTCCCTTACTCACTGTTAGACTTAAAGTTCCAGGCTTTCATTTTATGGATAAAAATTGTAAATAGTTCGGGTGGATGATAACATGATTTTCATTACACTGCAAATCATAAAATGTATACTTTGGTTTCCAACTGTGAAAATATTGTGACACAGGTTATTTTGTTTCCTGAAAGGATCAGCCATTCAAATGACTGTAATTTTGCTTGTAAAAATGTCCTGTGCCTAATATAAGGGAAATGTTAACATTCACCAATATTATAGGACAATTATTCCAAATTGTCCAGAACTTCATAGTGTGTTGACTGCAAATATTCCTGAGTGATTGTGTATGGGATTTTCACAGAAAATGACACTATTGCATGAGTAACCCTATGACAGATATAGGAACTAGGATTTCAGTATTAGCCGGTATAGGAAAACACCATTGCAGGGTTTTGTTGCCATATCCTTTTTCAGTTATTTGACTGGGAAGCATTTTTATGCAGACCTAATATTCTTAATGAATTGCCTCAGACATATGGTCATATCCCAACATGTTTATCCATCGTGTCTTTATAAATTCAAATATTTGTACAATGGCTTTGGATATAGAAAGCAAAGACACACTGGTGAAGTCATTCCCAGAGTTTGCTGGGTAGTTTGGATAACAGAATCGAGTTTCAAATTGATGTCTATTGGTTAGGATAAAGGCTAGTCCAAAACATAAAATACCTGTGTACAAGATGGCAGAAGCATAGCGTATGACAGCAGATAGAAAATAGGTACATTTGGTATATTGAAATACTCTGTGTGTATTAACTGAAATGCAGAATAAAACTATAAGTTGGAAACAAGAAGACACGTTTTTCTTTGCCTCCACTTTCCATTTAAATTATTTCTGTAGATCCTTTATTTCCTTAATCCTAGATGAAAGCATAAGAAGTTTCCATAGGGTTCTGTCCAGGTGACATGGTGTCCACATGTGCTGCACTGACTCTCCCATGGAATTCAACAGTAAAATCTGGACAGAATGCGTGGGGATGGTATTTGAGGACTGAAAAGTAAATAGGAACTGTCAGACCAGAGAAGAACACCAAAATCTGAAGTACCACTGAACCTACGTGAGCTTGGTTTTTATTTTCCTGTCTAATCCTTCTCACCCTCCACATGAACTTCGCTTAGCTGGAAACCTGGATAGAGCATCATGACACAGACAGAGAGCTCTAGGAGAAGCCTTCTACTTCTGGCTGAACGAGCAGGAAACTGAACTCCTAGAGCTCAGAATGAGTGGGGAAAATCCTCTGTGATTTCTTTTCTTCTGTTCTCTTGTGCCCCAGACCATAGACAGGTCCATGGTATTGGCAGCAGCAGTGGCAGCAGAGAGAGAAATAACGTATTACCTAAATGGAACAATAATTCAAACAATTATAGATTTCTCATCAGAAACTATGGAGTATGAGAAGGAACTGGCACAGCATATTTAAAGTATTGAAAGAAAATCACTGTCAATGCTAAATTCTATAGCTAGTGAAAACATCCTTCAGAAGTGAAATCGAAATAAAGACATTCTCAGGTGAAGAAAAACCAAGAGAATTCATAGCCAGAAAATGTCCTCTAAAATGGTTGCTAAAGAAAGTTCTTCAGACAGAAAGGAAATGATGCCAGAAGCAAACCTAGAACACTAGGAACATGATGAAGCAAGGATGAGCAGCAGAAATGATAAATATTTGAGTAAATACAGTTATTCTCCTCTAGAGTTCTTATACACCTAAAAATAGAACTTCAAAAGGTGCAAAGCAAAAACTGAAAGAACTAAAAAGAGATATATGAATCCACAATTATAGTTGAAGTCTTCAACATTTTCCTCTCCCTAATAGATAGAAATGGTAGACCAAACATCAAAAAGGATATAGAGGAATAGAGAAACACTATCAAGCAACTGGATCTAATTGACATTTATAAAACACTCCACTCACCAGCAGCAGAATGCATGTTCTTTTCAATTGCCTAGGGAACACTTATCTTGGGCCATGAAACAAATTTGAGACACATTTGAAATAATACAAACTATGTTCTCGTACCATAACGGAATTAAACTAGGAATCAGTAATAAAATATAACAGGAAACTCAATCAACACTTCAAAATACACAAAGCAAAACTCAAAGAACTGAAAGGAGAAATTTAAGCATCCACAATTATAGTTGGGGTCTTCAACATTTCTCTATAACTAATAAACACAACTAGTAGAACATCAGATTGTTTTGCTTGCTTGAAGCATTTGTGCACTGGAAGCCCATCCATTCTTACCTGCAGCTGCCACCTCTCTCTTGCAATGTCATATCATTTATTAAAACTTCAGTTTCTCCTGGATCATTCCCATCCACATCCAAATTTCCTGTATTATTCCCATCTCAATTAAATTTTTTTTTCTTGACTTCACACCATTCTAGAAAATACTACGTTTTCCCTTTATAATACAAACCTGGAAAGAGTTGCCTGTATTCCCTGTCTTCACTTGCATTCCTCTAATTGCATATTGAACACACCTTAATCAGGCTTATATTCCCATAATTCCACAAAAGTTCTGGTTCTCAAGGTCAACATAGGCCTCCATGTTGCCTAATCCAATAGTCATTCCTTCCTCCTCATGTTCCTGGCCTATTGGCAGCATTTGACCCCCGTCCTTGAAGTATTTTCTAACTCTCCACTGACCAGTGTCACTGGCTGCTTCTTTTTCCCCTCTTCTGGATCCTCCTCAGATAACTGACCTGTGAACAAGGAAAGACTCCACCCCCCAGTATCTGCTTTTTCTAAATTTGGTCAATTTTGCTGCATCTTCTAATTACTCAGTCCAAAAAACACATAAAAAAACACCTTCCATCTTCAACGCCTCTATCTCACCTCTGACATGAAATCCACCAGCAAATCCAGTTTGAAATACATTTCCAATCAGATAACTTTTGAATGCCTGCACTGTTTAGCCTGTGTTTATGGCAACATCATCTTTGCTTAGATTTTTGCATTAGCCTCCTAAGAGTCTCCTTCCTTTTATCCTTGTTTCCGGGTCCACCCACTCTATTTCTCATATCGCTCTTGAGTGTGATCTTTCCAAACTTGAAGTTAGGTCATGTCATGTCTCTGTGGTTCTGCTCTCACAATAAAAGCCAAAGAACTTTCATAACAGACAAGGCTCCACGTGATCTTCCCCCTCCTGACAATCTATCCTCGATTCCTTCTGCTTGCGCGCTCACCAATGCAATTCCAGCCACACTGCTTATGCTCTTCTTTCAATGCATCAGGAATGTTCCTGCCTCGGGTCCTTTGTAGCTGCTCTTCTTTCATTGTCCTGTGCTGTTGTTCCTCAGATATGTCTGTGGCTTGAACTGGCAACCCTATTGAAAATATTGTCTCTCTCATCACTTTGTGTTATGACTCAACTTGTTTTTTCCATCATTCTGAGTACTTTCTACCACTTGCCGTATTATGTGTTTATTTGTATATTTGTTTTATTTCTTGTTTTCCTCCAATAGAAATTAAGCATTATAAAAATAGGATTTTTCCATTTTTGTTTAAAAAAGATTTTTTATTGAAATATAATTTACATATAATGTTATATTAGTTTCAGGTGTATAACATAATGATTTAATATTTGTATATATTATGAAATGATCACCACAATAAGTCTAGTTAACATCCAACACTGTATACTTACAAAATTTTTTCTTTGTGGAGAACTTTTAAGATCTATTTTCTTAGCAGCTTTCAAATATATGATATAGTATTGTTAACTACTGTCACCATGCTGAACATTACA